TGTTATAATAACAAGTGCACGTTACTGATGCAATATGGTTGAGACCATTCGGGCTTATTCTAGAGGGGTGCAAGGAATAGTCCAAGTAGTGGGGGAGTTTTATACAATATGTTTAATATGTTTAAAACATAAAAATAAAAAGGTTTTAAAAAGTTATTGTTTAATGTTTTAAGGAGGTGACGCTACTCAGCCAATCAAATCGGTGCAGTCAGCACGATAGATTCAATCACACACACACAGAGACACGACAAGAGGAGAGAAACAGTCGGAGTAATTTCAAATGGCGGAAGGTAGACAGCGAAAACAGAGCATTTAATTACATTTTCTCTTACTGGACCTCTTTGAAATGCAATTGAATACCCCTGCATTATAGCAACAACAACAATAATAATAATAATAATAATAACAGCAATAATAATTGGGAGGGGGGGCGCGGCTGTTCTTATGTTCTCTGAGGGGAGGCTCACCTACCCACACTTTGAAAACCCCTGCTCTATTCAAATCATTTCAAAAGATTTCAGAAGCATAATTAATCTGGCCTGCTCAATTGCCTTCATCATATCAAAACGGACCCACCGTTCTGGCCCAATAGTGATCTGAGTGATGAAAGGTCCACCAAGATCCCAATAGACTCCCATGTTAAATTTTTTCTGATCTTTCTTCAGCACAGAGAGAAGTAAACTTTAGACCAACTGCTCCCATCTTCAGATTTTACACACAAAACCCAAAACAAAAAACATGTAGCAGTTCATTGGGGTTCCCTGATGCTCACGGTCTGGTAATTTTTTTGATAGGAGCCATAGTTTTTGAACAGGTGGCAAAATTGTCAGATATAATTCTCAATGCATTCTTAAATGGGACTCAGTGCTGCAGTTGGTTACCATGTTGTTGCTGGGCAGATTGGACACACACACCTTTTTCCCTCCAAAATAAATCCCTGACATTACAAAATGCATGATTATAAACCGGTATGGCTGAGAGATCAAAATATGTGGTTATAATGGGAGTGAATGGGAAATTCCGTGAGTGGCTAATTAGGGATTTTTTTTGAAGATCCGATTCTGTGCAAAAACTAATAATTTGGCAAAATCAATGTTGCTAATCTTTGAAATATCCAAGACTGCGATAAAAACAAAAACAAAAACGACCCCTCCAACATTTATTATATGGAAAATAACTCCCTTTTTGTGCATTTTTCTTATAAAACGCGACATGTTTTCAAACTGGCAGTTAAAGGGTTAAAATCCTGAAAATAATTTTAAAAAAATTGGTATTTTTGATTAGGGCTGAAGTTGCTTTAAAGATTGAACCCAAAAAAGTTGAGAAAAACATTTTAATATAATGTTTTTATCAAAGTTTTTGGCAGTGGACATTTTTATCCCGAATGGTCGATTAGGGTAGTCGATTTTACACAGTAAATAATAGACCCATTTGAAAAATTGAAAATTCCAAAATATATCGAGAAAATAGCCTTATTACAAAAAATCATGCCATTTGCAGTGACACAACCAAAGTTATTGCCAAATGAAATGGGAAAAATGAGTGATACCGGAGGATTAGGAAATATACAGATCACTTTTTTGTTGGCAGCCCTAGTATCATCAAACCCAAGTTATGAAGAATTAACACCTGGCAAATGCATAAACAAACACAAGGTGATAATGCTTCTGTTGAATACATATGAAAACTGTTTGTTTATTCTAACCTGAAATAGAAAAACATCTCAATAAAATGATCATCATAACATGTCTCCTCGGTCCCCCGACCCCTCACCCTCCTCTCACCAGGCAGGCTGCTGCTGCTGCTGCTGAACAGATCCAGGTACTGCTCCATGGAGGTCAGCACTTTGTAGCCGGCACAGTTGATGGTTCCCTTGGGGTGGAGGTGTCTTTCGTGGGCCTGGGCAGAATAGTTACCATGTTAGAAAGTGAGTCAAAGCTGAATAATGTAAACCAGATTTGAGAGACTCACTGCTTTGCTGTCGTAATAGTTGAGGTTGTAGTTGTCTGGAACAAAGACGAAGCGGTTCCTCCATTTCTTGTTCTCCTCCAGATAGTGAAAGAGCGAGCCAGAGAAAATTGATTTGTTTTCCAAAGGAATCTGTGAATGACAACAAACCTTATAGAAGAAAAATATTTTCATGACAGTTAACTGCACAGGAGGAGGCATTAGGAGCTTTTGTTATTGCCAGAGAAGCAGGAAAAAGACAGTGTTTATATTTTATAGAAATACACATCGAAAATGTGCCATTAGAAGTGGTTTCTTAATCCCCAAACAATGTTTTCCTCAAGCAAGATGACTGCATTTCTCACTACACTCGTAAAAAACAAGGACATAAATCAGTCTCCAGACAGTAAAAAGCAGACAAAGATTTAAAGGGGACCTATCGTGCAAAATGCACTTTTTGATGTATTTTATACATAAATATGTGTCCCCGGTGTGTCAGGGAACTCACGCAGCGTCAGAAAATAAAACCCTCTCTCTTTCCTCCGTACCCAAATCTCTAAAAACGGGGGTACAATGGAGCTGATCCAGATTTGCGGCAGATATTACGTAATATCGGTGGCGGACCCACGGCACTATCAGAAACGTTGCTATCAGAAACAGTGCCCGACTGTTTTGGACGTAATATGGTCAGTGTTTACATTAGCATCGCTAACACTCAGAGCTAACCTGTACTGGAGAGCGTGTGTGAAGAAGCAGGAAATAAAAAGGAACTCACCTTGTGGTATAACTAGGCTTGGGCGGTATGACGGTATTACGGTATACCAGGGTATTTCGAAATCCCGTCGGTATGATTTTCAATACCGTGACGTCACAGACTGTGCGCCAAATCACAGATGCGTTTCATTCTATTACACTGACACGGAGTTTTGACAGGGACGACATTGGTTGTAATGCACAGCACGCGCCAGCAGAGGGCAGGGGAGGGCAGTCCGTCTTTCCCGCTCTCAGAGCTCAGCACACGCAGAGCTGGTTGTCTACACACAGGAGGACGCAATCGATACAGGGGAAAACCCGCTT